AAAGAGGATCTTGTAGGTATAATGGGAGTTCATCATGTTCTAAGGATTAGAAGTTATCTGAGGCTACCCTCTATGATTGGTCGGAGTAAAAAATCAACCTTTTCTTATATTTAGGATCGTATATGGAAAAAAAATCAATTCGTGGAAGGGGCGGTCTTTGTCTAAGGCTGGAAAAGAAGTCATGATTAAATCGATGTTACAAGAAATATCGTCTTATGTTATGAGTATGTATATTCTTACAGATGGAGTGACCAATGACATTGAGAATATGTTGAATTCTTTTTGGTGGATGAGAGGTAATAATAACAGAGGAATCAGGTGGATAACGTGAGATAAGCTTACTGGTACGAAGAAGGAAGATGGATTGGGGTTCTGTGGTTTAAGAGCTTTTAACATGGAAATGGTGGCCAAACAAGAGTGATTTCTTATGTCTAAACCCCATGATCTCATTTCCCGTATATTCAAAGCAAGGTATTTCCCCTAGACATATTTCTTTGATGCTAATATTGGTTATAACCCATGCTTTGTATGGAGGGGTATTTGGAAAGCTTGAGAAGTTCTAACCTTGGGTTGCATATGGTCTATTGGGGACAATAATAGCATCAAAGTGACGAATGAGCCTTGGATCTCAGGTGGAAGAGAGGGGCGCCTGAAAGGCCCTGAGAAGCAAGATGTGTATAACATCACCATTAATAATCTCATGCTAAAAAATGTTAAACAATGCAATATGAGATTGTTACATGACATTTTTTATTATACAACGATTGAAGAAATTCTTCATGTTCCCTTGGCGGAAGATGTTACAGAAGATAGATTAGTTTGGAAGGAGGATCAATTTGGTTGCTATAATGTTCGGTCAAGATACAAGGTTTGGAAGAATGCGCGATAAAAAAATTCTCATTCGGGTGTGTCGACTAATTGGAATTGTATTTGGAACAATAAAGCCCCCACTAGAGTCAAGCATCCCATATAGAGAGTTTGTCATGACTGTCTTTCATCCCGAGCTCGACTTCAACAATATCATGTTCAGTGTCCGGGTGAGTGTTCCTTTTGAGATAATAATTTGGAGGATTCTTGACATGTTTTTTTTGGTTGCTCTAAAACGAATCAATGTTAGCGGGCAGACAGATTACATACTATTATTAATCACCATTTACATTCTTTCCAAGATGTAAGATCGATTATTTTTATATTTGTAACAGAGAGGATATGGATACTACTGGTAGAGTTACTGTAATGATGGACGTTTTGTGGAATAATAGAAATGATTTTATTGGGAATAATGAGAGGGACGGGGCATTGAAGCTTGGTTGGATTGGTTTCCATATGTGGCAGGAATGGTTTTCAACGCAACAAAACGATGATGATGATCCCGGGCAGCAACATGGTTGTGCTGAAATCCTCCTTCACCTTGGCGGATTAAGTGCAATGTAGATGCTGGTTTTAATAATAATTGTGGTACTTTGAACCTAGGTTGGTGCCTTCGAGATAACTCTGGTAATTTTCTTATAGCAGGTGTGGCGTGGGATCCTTGGAAGCTTTCCATCATAGAGGCAAAAACTTTAGCTCTCAAAGAAGCTATTCAACAAGTAATAGTTATGCATCTTGATCACTTAATTTTTGAAAGTGATTCCCTTCGGGTGGTGCAAGCTTTACAGGCCAAAACCATAGGCTATTCAAATTTTTCTACTATTATTAAATATATTCAGTTGTTATTACTAAATTATCCAAACTTTGAGGTTAAGTTTGTAAAATACCAAGTGAATATGATTGCTCACTCGTTAGTGAAAGCGACCAATTCCTGGACTAAGTGTAGCCTTATTTATAATGTTCCTCATTATATTGAACTTTTGATCCATAATAAAAGAAGTTAGTTTTGCTTTGTTCAAAAAAAAGTTACCATAATATTACATTAAAATGCAATATAAAAGTTAATAATGATTTATAAAATAAAAAATAACTAATTTAAATTAAAAAAGAAATAAAATATGATTTGACCCCATTGTAGCAATGCCTCATCATTAATGAGGAGGCCACATGTGTAAAACTGGAGGGGGACAACAAAATCTTAAGAGAAGTAAAATAGAGGGATAAAAAAACTGAGTTTTAAAATTGAAGGACTAAAAATTAAAAAATATCAAAATAGAGGGACCAAAAATGTATGTCAAATAATTTTCTGAAAATTCTATGTACACCCTTGCTATTTCTATTAGGCCCTTGGTGAAATTTCTAAAATGTCCCCCTGAATTAAGATATGCATATTCGAACGCACAAAAAACCATTTTTATCATAAAAAAAATTAGAAATGCAAATCCGAATTCTTAAAAGGGTTAGTTCGGAAATGCATTTTCGAAGTATACCCCGAGACAAATTGTGCCAATTTCAATGTGTTGTTACGTCGGTTTCAAATGCCACAATTTACCAAAAACAGAATCGTGGCAGTTTCTCATACACGATATTATGGTAGAACATGATAGAATCCATGTACCTTTGTTACTCTCTGATTCTCTTGTTTGTTTAATGAAAATATACGATATTTCCCTTGTGCAACATAAATCTTTGCTTGATTATTGTGTTATATGTTTGTCTTGCTTTTCATTCACATCACACTGTCAATATCTTTTTTGAAATAATATGTGTGGTTTTTCACTAAAAAAGTTGGACATGGATTTAAATGAGGGTGTGGAAAAGTAATCAAGGGTTGTCCCTTTATAACTTTCATTTTATGCGTTCTAATTCTACACGGTTTCACAGGATTAGAAATATTGACACATTAGAGTTTGAGATAAAAAGTCGATGGAGCTAACATATTCGATATTTTCTATAAAGAATTTTAAGATATGCATATCCGAAACTTTACCTGTTTGTACCATTTTGGTTTAAAACATCATCATTACCACTATCTAATAAACGAGCAAATGACCAAACATAAAATGATACGATTTGGACGAAAAATAAAATGAACTTAACAATTAGATTAGATGTTCATAAATAGAGAGATATAATACATCAGTTGTTCAGAAAAATGTAAATATCAAAATATTACATCGATAAAAATAAAACAAAATAACATAAGCTACTGCTATTGTGTATGTTTAATCCTACCCCCATTGACCTCCTCTGCCTCCTATATCCCGCTGTACTGGTTGCCTCTCTAACCATCTGCTCAACGATGGTCACTACCTCAGGACTGCCCCTATTGATGATCCTTCTATCCAATGCTTCCTGCCAAAGTGTGTGTATCCGTTGACATATCAGTAAGACATTAGTGACATGGTCATCCTCGACCTACTGGTTCTCCAAGAGCTCCTCATGAGCTGACCTAGGTGGACGTTCAGAACCATCCGATGTCATGATAGGATATGACACTTTAAATAACCATGTCACACATCCATCTACACAATGCCAACTCTCAGATGCTAGCATCATCCGATACTCATGTGGCACTAAATGATTCTCTCAATCATGAAAGATATCATCGAGTTCCCGACGAACAATTGTGTCGGGAGCCGCCTGAAAAAGAAATCTCAATATCATATGCACAAAGCCAAACTGCCGGATGCACCGCTCTGGAAGATACCTGACCATAATATTCGACCCACATATTAGCCACCTGAAGTATAATGAGATGAGGACGAAGGGGAAAACATCCCTATGATCCTCGAATGACGTCCATATGATGTAATCATTGTCAGTACGATCAAGATATACACAGTAAGACAACACAACATGATTGCCTATGCAGAGGATGTACTTTGCAGTCCTCGGCATGTCATCACTATATTCTAGATCACGCTCGAAGCCATGAACGCGGTAGCAGTGATAAATGATCCAACTCTAAAACACAAAGTCACCTTTTCTTGACAAAAAAATGACTTCGGATATGCACATACGAAGACACATTTTATTTACAAATAAGGTGAGTTCAGATAAGCACATCTGAAGTTTGGGGTTTTTTAGGTTTTTTGCTAAAGACCTCCTAGAAAACATAAGGGTGGAAAAAATTCCCTAATTTTTATTCATCAAATCCGGGTCTGAGACGACTGAGCCCAATCGAGTTAAAATTGTTGAAAATTTCTTTTTCCACCCTATGCTTTTCTAGCACACCACGTGAAATTCCAAAAATATCCTTAAAAATCGGAAATATATTTCCGATGCGCACCCACATATATAATTAATTCGTTTTTGAGATTCACCATATTTTACGATAAAATTTATTCGGAAAATACACTTCCGAAAACTCTCGAAAATGCACTTCCGGTTATATTTTTAAAATAATGGAAAAAAATATAACTGAAAGTGCATTTCCGAAAGTATGTTTCTAAAATAAATTTTATCGTAAAATAGAGTGAATCTCAAAAAGGAATGAATTATGTGTATGAGAGTGCGCACTGAAAATATATTTTTAATTTTAAGAAACATTTTAGGGATGGTGTAAAATTTTTCTTTTCACTGTAGAGTTGAAAGAGAATTTCTCAAATTTTTAGTTATACTTGGTTACTAATATGTCTATAGCTAAAAAAAATAAAAAAAAATAAAGACCCAGAAGAGAAATGTAAAAGAGGAATTTGGATCCTCTGCTTGCCAGCAGGAGTCCAGTTTGGTTTTTGTGTGTGATGAGAGAGAAAATCAGAAATTAAAACTGAAGTAAAAAGATGAGAGAAATGAAAATAATAAAGAGAAAGACACGTAAAAGAACATGAGCGAGGGCTGGAGAGAGTCGAGGAGCAGGTGATCCATATCCATAAATGAAATAGAAGAGAAATTACATTTTAAAAATTGTGTAGAAAAGATATATTTTAAGTAGGGGTATTTTAGGCATTTTAGATGTTGATTGTTTCGGTGGTTGATTGCGTAAATTTAATTAAAATAGAAAAACATGTGAAAGCAGAAGTTCACAACTAGGGTTTAACGCAGCGCGGCTAGATACTGTTGAACGAAAAGCAGAGCACAACCCGCAGTTTCACAAATTCTACACGAAACCAAAAGCAACACCAGCTATGGCGGAAGCAGACATCGACCACCACAACTCACCCGAGCACGAGGACCAAATCAATGACAGTAATACGAAAAAGAAGCACCGCAAGAGAAAAAGATCTCGTAAATTGGCACAGGAAGTTGAAAGAGAACAAGAGAATAACGAAACCGCGGAATCTGAAGAGGAGAAGGATGATGAACATCAACAAGAAGAAGAACACGGTGATGGCGTCGATGAAGAAGAGAATAAACCGGAGAACACCGTATCGTCTGGAATTATGAGCACCGAGACATTTTCTTCATTAGGTTTATCTCAACCTACTTCTAAGTCTATTACTGATATGACTTTCACCCGAATGACTCAGGTAATACATTTTTTATTAATTAGTCACATGTGGAGGAATAATATAAAGATTTTAATTTACTTGATTGAATGATTGAATGATGAAATGCAGATTCAAGCGAAAGCTATTCCACCACTATTGATGGGAAAAGATGTTCTTGGTGCTGCAAGGACAGGTGCTGGAAAAACACTTGCATTTTTAGTTCCAGCTGTCGAATTGTTGTACAACGTTCAGTTCACACCTCGTAATGGAACTGGTGTTGTTGTTATTTGTCCAACTAGAGAGCTTGCCATTCAGGTACACTTACATACATGCTTCTTTAATTGTTTTAATTTATTTTGTTTTTTGCTACTTTTATTTGATTATTTGGTTACCTGACTTTTCAGACACATGCTGTGGCAAAGGAACTACTCAAGTATCATTCGCAAACACTTGGATTGGTTATTGGGGGTTCCGCTAGAAAGGGAGAAGCTGAGCGCATTGTTAAAGGGGTAAATCTGTTGGTTGCAACACCTGGCCGTCTTCTTGACCACCTTCAGAATACAAAAGGATTCATATATAAAAACTTGATGGTAACTTATGGATTTGCTTCTTTATTATACGGACTTGTTTGATTACTGACAAGTGACAAAAGATGTGGATATTTGGTGTTCATGCTTTTTGTTGCTAACTTGTTGGGGAGTTTGTGACATATTAGTTCATAAAGTTATTACATCTATTGCTATAAGTTTGCATTTCAAACATCTTCCTTACATGCAATGGTGGATCTAGGCACTGTTTGGATAGACAACTTAATTAAACGCTTATAGTATAAACACTTGATACTTATTATTCTAGTCAAATTGTTTTCATATGCTATCCTAGAGAGCTTATGGAAATTAGCTGAAAACAACTTATGGACATTTTCATAAGCTCTCCCAAACAATCTGACAAGTGTTAATGCCAATTGCTAAGCGCAATTAAGACAATTCAAACATGACTTTAGACACACAAACATTTTCTGTTTGAGGAGGTTTTTCTTATGAACAAAAAGGTTACTAAATACTTTCTTTGTATAAAGCAATGAAGTTGAAAAGAATACGAGGGGGCATAGTGAGTCCCTTGTAATACACGAGGTGCTGCCTTCTGCATACATGGTTTTACGTTGCATGTTTATTCATTGTATACTTTTGCAGCTGAGGCTCACTGAGTGTGGTTTGGTCATGTAAGAATAAGAATGCTATACTGAGAATCAAGGTAGTCTAGCATGAGATCTTAAGTAGGACCGGATGGCATGTGAAAGATCATAAAACTAGGGTCGTACCCCAACACTTAAGATCTTACAGAAGGGCAAAATGGTATACACACATAAACATGAAAAATATAATACATAGACAAAATAACTTATAAATCACAAAATTCAACCAATTTAATTAATAACTCATAACCATCATTCCATAATAAAGTTCAAAAGACTTGTTCATAAATCTAACAAACAAGTCTAATCATCTAAGATATTATGATTTCCCATATCATGATAGTCATATAAAAGGAAACTTCAGCACGTAAGATCTTAAGACCCCGCACTTGATCTTGATTCTTGACCACAAAGTGCACGAAAACAGTTTTTTCTCAGATCGTAGTTCTTAAAAGGCAACTTCAGCACATAAGATCTTGAGACCAACACTCGATCTTGACTACACTGCTGAGAATCTCCCTGAAGAAACCATTCTTAAATATAGCTTGCTCTAACTGGAGTTATTGTTTGGTTTGTTATATAGCTCATAGGATTCATTGATGGAGCTTGTTTCATTCACTGTTTTTTTTTGTGGGACTAACTTCACTGTTATTATGCTATATATTATTTATTTATGCTCTTTTATTGATGAAAACAGTATAGTTATTTTATATGCTATCATGTTGTAAGGATTATTTTCATATTATTTTGTATTTCAATCACCATTTGGTTCTTATCATTATAACTTCTGGTGTCGTGGTTTTCTTTTTTCTCATTTTTGAGTGTACTTCTATAGCCATTAGATTTAAATACTTTATATCCAGAATAGATCCATGCATATATAAGTTTATATTATGGTTATAATTCTTATTCCGAGCTCTCTTTCATGATTGGACAGTGTCTCATTGTTGATGAAGCAGACAGGATATTGGAAGCAAACTTTGAGGAAGAGATGAAGCAGATCATTAATATACTTCCAAAGGTATTGAACTCACGGAGTTTAATGAAATCATGAGATTACATCTTGTCCAATCTTGTGAAAAATAATTTAACGATTATACTCCCTCAGGCCTCGAAAATAAGCAATGAAAGAGTCATATTTGGCAGTCTCAACTATCAAATATAAGCAAAACTTAACTAACTCTAATAATTAATGCTATGGTACCTAAAATACCCTTAAATTAATGTAGCTTTTGTTTTTCAATGAACTCTTTATTTTCATGGAACTAGTTCCCATGAAGGGCGGTTTAGAGAAAACAACTACATTTTTAAAGGATGTGAAGTAGTTCCTTTTGATCTTATATACGAGACCGGAGGGAGTAATAAGTAATAATAAATAGAGAGAAGTACATTGGAAATTTAATTAGCGGTATACAGCTTTTTGAATGATAATTGCTGTTTTGTCCTTGCTGATGAAAATGAATGGAAGTTTATGATGGAAAAAAAAGATTTGGAAAGAAAAAATAAATATAGCTGGCTTTTTTTTCCAGAAGAAAGGTTTGAATCCAGTACAGTAGTATTTTTACCAATATATGTCGAGTAATATAAGGTTTTCAATTCCAAAATAACAGTTTATTCTGCATGACTAACTGTGATGATTAACTACTTTGTTCTGTCAGTTAACTTAATATTGACTAGTGATTTCATTGATTTTTTTTAATATTAGCAGCTGCTTGCTGTCAAATTTTTAACATTCTAAAAATACTGTTTTTTTTTCTCTGATCTAAACAGTGATTCTCATCTAATAAGTAGGTATATTGTCTGTATATTTCTCATAAAGGTTACAAATATTTGTTGTCAACTTGTTAATGTGTTGAGGTTTTTATGCTGATATCTAAACTTTGAGTTTACCTAATTTTTATGAGCATGTCTAATTTTCTGCTTCTCATTTTTAACAGAAAAGACAAACAGCTTTGTTTTCAGCCACACAAACAAAGAAGGTTTGTTTTAAGTTCTATCTTTCATCATGCACATTTCCCTAATGCAAATCCCAGTTCCAATTGTTAACTCTCAATTTTAGATTGTCATATAAATTTTCGCTTGATATACACGATGTTAATGCTTGACAATGCATTATATATTTGAAAGGGAGAAATCTGGGGAATGCAAGCATATTGGTTACTTATTTTCTGTTCTTTCAAAATATTTTCCCGTTCAATTACAGGTTGAAGATCTTGCCCGCTTGTCTTTTCAGACACCTCCTGTCTATGTTGATGTAGATGATGGGAGAAAAAAGGTAATGCCTCACCACTTCTATCACGATCTGAGAGTTTTTTCTGTAGCTTTATCATAGTATCTGACACGTTCCTCATCGATTTAGGTCACAGTGGAAGGATTGGAACAGGGCTATGTTGTTGTTCCCTGTGCCCAGCGTTTTGTTGCTCTATATACATTCTTGAGGAGATTTCAATTAAAAAAAGTGATGGTGTTTTTCTCTTCATGCAACTCTGTCAAATTCCATGCCGATCTTCTTAAGTTCATTGGATTAGACTGTTTTAATATTCATGGAAAACAAAAGCAGCATGCCCGAACAACTACCTTCTTCAACTTCTGCAAAGCAGAAAAGGGGATCTTGCTCTGTACTGATGTTGCTGCTCGTGGACTCGACATACCTGATGTGGTATATTATATATTCTTGTTAATTTACTCGAAGTTTATTTCTGACCTGCAATGTAACTCAATTCAGCTGTGTCAGATTCTTAAGGTGTTCACCCAAAACTATAGTATTCAGTCGAAACTTGCATCAGTACAATCTTCATTTTTTTAATGGGGTGGCAGATACAAAATAATTTTTTATTAAGATAATGAAAAAAGGGGAATTCTGCAGTACTGTGGCATTGTTTCCTGGGCTGTGAAGCAAGGATACCCTGAACACAACCCCGACATTGACACGACACTGGTAATAATTTTAAAAAAATGAATACGTTAAACGTAATCACAAGTGTCGGTGCTGGTGTCCAACACTGACACGGACCCACCTTTTTTCAAAGGTGTTGGTGATACATAGTTCGTGGGTGATTGTTGGATGAGTGCAGTGGTAAATGTTAAGGTACCAAACTTATAGGTGTGACTGTTGGATAATGTTGGATGTGAAATCCAGTGGTAAATGTTAGGGTACCAATATAAGAGGGTTACCAAGTAAATATAAAAAAACAAGAACCCTGATTTGGTAAGTTTAAGAATGAATAAAGCAGAGTAACTCTTGAAGAAATTGCGAGCCTCACCTGTCTTACCTACTCCCCGTTTTCAACTGGATGCTCTTTGTACATCCATCCCTGCATTTCATATTCTTTTGCTACTCCCAATATGTGTTCATGTCCGTGACCCCTTGCTGCCAGTAACTAATGGTGGTAGCCCCCAACTATCTTAAAGTAACAGTTTTTTTCCCAATTGGTTCCATGGGTGTTTCCAGACCTCTCCCGTCCTCTGGTATATTTTCCTAAGTGAGGGCCTATTCCTAACAATAATCTACGGAGAGAAATCAAATAGCACAAAAGTTTGAACATACAGGAAAAAACACATCAACTAAGTCTAGCTCATCAGATGTTGATTTGATCTACTTAATTTGGTTTCTGTTACCATCAATTTTTGAGTTATGTTTTGTTAGTTTGACACCATTTAAGGACATGTAAAAGGTTTATCTCTTTTTCTCCTTTTCTGCTTTGTAGGACTGGATTGTGCAGTATGATCCACCAGATGAACCAAAGGTGCTTTTTTTTATGATCATGATCTTGTTCATTTTTAAATTTTTTTTTAAAAATTTAATTATTATATTTATATATCAATGCACAGTGTAACGTGTATTATTTTATTGCTTCCAGGAATATATCCACAGAGTTGGTAGAACTGCTCGTGGAGAAGGTGGAAAAGGAAATGCTCTACTTTTCCTGATTCCTGAAGAATTGCAATTTCTTCGCTATTTGAAGGTCAGATTCTATTCCCTTAGCTACATATTTAATCAGGTGCTTCTAATGTATGCAGTAGCTTTATCCTTAAAGCTGCAATATAGGTCACATGAGGAAACCTTAACAGTGTGTCATGCTTATAATGTTGTTAGGGGATGCAATAGTTGGTGAAATGAAAATATAGTATTATATTGCTTGAAAAGTTATTACTAGATTATCCTGGATCAGTAAATTTCAATTTTTTGCTTTACTTCAGGCAGCAAAGATTCCTGTGAAAGAGTATGACTTTAATGATAAAAAGCTTGCAAATGTACAATCGACACTGGTATATTCCTCCTTCCTCTAGTGCTACTCAGAATATTTAACACAACCAATTGCATCTTATCTTACACAGTATCATGTGGTTTTGCAGGAGAAGATGGTGGGCACCATTTATCATTTGAACACTATGGCTAAAGACGCATATAGGTCATATATATTAGCATATAATGCACATTCTATGAAGGAAATATTCAATGTTCACCGCCTTGATTTACAGGTACAACTTTCACGTCACATATTACATTATGGTTGTTTTCACATTTCTTAAACTTTTATGAATATATTACAATTACAATATAATGACAGTACAAGTTACTGTACTTGTGCAGGCTGTTGCTACTTCATTCAGTTTTACAAACCCACCGAAGATAAATCTGAACATAGATAGCAATGCTTCAAAGCATAGGAAGAAAATTCAAAAAGTGGAAGGAAGAAGACGTTGATTTGGCTACACTTATGAACCATATTTGCAGGCGACGTGCTACCAAGAAAGTTTTGTTAGGAATCCCAATTTTACATAGCGGGATAGATTTTGCAGCTTTGTCAAACATTAAATTATTAAAGTTTGGAAGTTCAAAACTGGATTTTGTGTTATGTGCAATTTTGAACTGTAACATTATTCTGATATGATTATCTGCTTACAATCCTAGATTTCCAACATCAATACTCTGGGTGAGCCACATCTAGGATTCTTTCTTGTTGGTGATGTAGTTCACTGGAAACTTGCGTCTGTAGTAAAAAGTTGTACTTATATCCTGTGTTAAAATTGAATAACATTATATCTATTTTTTGGCTTCTCTTAACATTTTGTGTGAGAATTCAGCTATTATAGTTTAAAGCAGCCATATGAACTGTAAAAGATGGATTAATAATCATTTGATAAAGCTTAAAATACAGATCTTAAAAAAGTGTAAAGTTTATTAACTACTCTTTTATAATAACCAAACTTTGACTTTTAGGTTTCTTTAATAAATAATGTATTTAGATTGAATATAGACCTGATATATTAATTATTCAATGAATTTAAAAGTTAAAAATTATTTGTAAAAAGAGAATGGAGTTAAAAATTTGATTTAATTATTCAATGAACTTAAAAGTTAAAAATTATCTGTAAAAAGAGAATGGAGAGAGTATATAGTAAATTGGCCGGCTGATGGGAGGCTAAGAATTTGAATGTAAACAAAGGTTTTGCACACAAATAACTAATGAATATAATCATAAACTCAATTGAGTTATGATTAATGGCAAAACAAAATAAAATCATATAGATGACATATTAATATGAAATAAACAACCAATAATTCTGCTAATCCCTTAACATTTATTAAATGTAAGAACAAGGATCTGATTGACAAGATCAAACATCAACAAAGTTCCTTGGAATTGGTTACTACCAATCACTGTAAGAGCAGAGGTCTTTCCTTCTGCAAATGATAGACAAACAATACCTTCTTCTGGTACGAAGAGTAACTGGTTGTTGTTCAATTTGTAAGACACAAAATTCTGACCTGCAATATTTCCATTTTCAAAGTGAAGCTCAATAGTAGGAAACACATTAGGTGAATCATCTTTATAACAAAATTCTAACCCTTCATATCCCGATGTTTTTGTACGATTGTGATCTGTTCTAAGTATCTCTGATCTGAACACACTATAAGCATCAGTTGGTAAATAAGTTAGCATTGTTCCTATATCCATGATAACCCCACCATCATAGTTCAGACCATAACCCCAAACTCTAGATTGAATATCCAACATAAACCCATCAACACTTATACCAACAAATTGCAAAAAGTAATGAAAAGGGTATCCACTGTTCTCCATCAAGGCAACCATAATGGAACTATTATCACCAACAACAACACCATGCTGGTTGATTTCTGGTGGAGTATCATAAAACTCAAGAGATGAAGGTTCGTCTGATCCTTGACTTACAGGACAAAAAGAAAATGCCTTTGCTTTGAGTTGACTTTGAACGGAAAGAGGACCGCGTCCTAAACCCAAAACACCTGTGAATTGAGTCATAAATGGACCCTCATATGAATCTCCACAACCTATGATGAAATTCTTAACCTCTGTATTGGAACGTTCAAGGATAAGTGTATCAGTCACCATTAGACCAAAGGAATGAGATTGGTGGTTAGTACCATATTTCACATTATATCTACATGTCCAACCAGTGCTGTTTCCAAAAACTTCCCTCATCATTGGGATCAAACATGTATCTGAGTAGCTGCCAACTTCTTTAAAGGTACTTGATGCTCTAATGTTAAAGGGTGGGCGTTGCATAGGGTAACAAGTATTACATGGATCACATTGTGACCATGAAATTGGGCTTCCTATGTCTACCGTGACAAGTACAACTTGTACTGGAGTGCCAATCCATAAGAATATTGCATATGCATTATCTATTGGGTATATATCTGTTGTGGCTTCTTTCTGAGGATGTTGAATTCCTTTCTGATATAATGGGATACTAATTATTGATCTAGATGCAGAATGAGACAGGTGAAGTGTTGATAAAATTATCCAAAAGAAATATCTTATCAGAATATTCATTTTTGTATCACCAAAAAGTGAATCTTATTTCGAAATATTGGTTGGTTGTTTTTGGATTACACTCCTTTGAACTTATAAATTGCAATTAGATGTTTTTTTACTATTATTCTTCTAAGTGTTGTTTGATGAGTGTGGGTTTGGTAACTCATTTCATTTGCATGGTTGATGGTTCAAATGAAACATCCGAGTAGTGGTTATAAAACGTCTAGAAAAGAGTCATTATCACATGTTTTTCATTAGAAACCTATCCACTTTTTGAGGTGTATTAAGGTTTTTTTTCTTATAATTTTTTTTTAAAAAAATTTATACTTTCAAAAGTAGTCAAATTTATTTTAAATTAAAAGATTCATTTTGATATCTAAAAACACAAATATTTATTATTAAAAATTAAAAAATAATTAAAATCACATATCTTTCAAAAAGATATATCTATATAATATTTTTTTTTAAATAATTTTTTCTTCAAAATAGCTTCCAATTTAATTGATCTTTTTAAATAAATTCATAACTAAAAAAAATCATTGTGAATATCTAAAATAATATTTCAAAAAAATAATTTAAATAAATACAAACTACAATGTTTACCCACAATATAACATTGTTTACATAAAATAATAAAATAAAAATTAATTTGTCCATAAAGATCATAGGTTGGATCTTCAAATCCTTGATATTATGGGAAAGATCAAATATTGGATGTCAATATATTTTCTATTGTTTTTTCTTGCATTTGTTTCTAATATGAACAAAAAAAAAAAGGTTAGACAAAAAAAGTGAGATAAATAAATAATTTTCTACTTAAATAAATATTTAAGAACACAAACTTTAAACCCAAATATTTTTATGCTATTGCAATCCATCATAGAGAACTCTTCGTGACAAATATTCTTGCAAACCTTAAAGTGGAGGATGTAGATAGTTTCAAGTGCTTCATGATGTTTCGTTATCAATTTTATATATCATAATGCTTTTATAATGAAAGTTTTTTAGGTTTAACGCGAATCACCAATGGTAGTGTCTTGAGTGTTGATACTTATAAAATGGACGATACAAACTTGTTTAAGGGCGGTGATCAATATCCTCAATTATAACGCTAAATGATCCTGTAAGTTTTGTTAAAGACCGAGGTGAAAAAGCTTCTTCTCTTTTTTCTTTTTTAACATTACATTGTTTACACAGAATATTAAAACATAATATTACAACAAAATCGGATTCTTGGAGAATGTAACACCCTAATTCCCTAAAATAATTTATAAATAAAAGTAAGAGTAATTTAAAATAATTAAGCAATTATGATGTTACTTTCATCAACAACCTGCTCATACAATAGGATATGTGTTGTACCCCAAAATTTGCCCTCGCATTTTTCCACAAGAAATCTCAGCTTCAAGCATTTCCTGATTTTTCAAACTGGCTCAAGAATCGGTCAAACAGACTTTTCTCGTCAGTCAGACGCAATTAGGGTTTTTATTGATCTTTCAGGGCTCTGGATTGTTTCACACAGCTGGCTTAGGGTTTTGGTTGATTCTGGCTCAATTTTGATCAGGCGAATGCTCTTTGGCATTTAATCAGAAATTAGGGTTTGTGCGCGCATTCTCAGAAGGATTTAAATTCCACAGCACTTTGCAAGTTATTCCGAGAATCGGTTTGAATTCGCATTGTTTTGATTTAATCAGTAAAAGAGGCAGTTGGTTTGAATTCAAGTTGGTTTGTTTGAGCCAGTCAGAGATATATGCAGTTTGGATTTACAGTGATTGGTAAAAATCGGTGAAAAGGGAATGCGCCTGATCAGTGATTTGATTAACTATTGATTCGCTTTGGAGATACCAGGTTTAACTGATCAATGTGCTAAAGTATTGTTTATTTAAATTATTTATTATTCTAAATTAAGTGATTGAAATTTATTTTTCAATTATTTTAATTCAAAGAGTTTTAAATAATAGATAAACAATAAAGAAAGAGGAAATAGAACTGATTGGATAATAAAGACTTTTATTGATTCTTGAATTATTTGTACAATTATTGTTTATAATTTAATTACAAACAATGGTTTTACATTAATTTAAATATTAAATAAAAAGAAAAACTATCCTATTTTTCTAATTCTTCAGTCTTCATTTAGTACCCCTCCATCCATTTTTATTCATCTGCAAAAGAAAAGGAGAAAAGTCAAATAACAGTTAAATTGAAAAGACAGATAAAATTGCAGTCATCACTAAGGGCCACTGATTGGGATCAGTTAACCCTCTCTGCAAATCACGGGATTTCTCCCGGTTCACAAAGAAGGAAGAATTTTATTTAATCATGAATGCAAAGTTGAGAAAAAATGCAAAGTGTCAAAATGCATAAATGCAAAGTGTCAAAACTGCATAATTTCAAAATCTCAAACTCCAAGTTCAAACCAAACTGAAAAATCCAATTTCCTACTTTATGTCAAAAAGGCCAAAAGGTACAACTTGCTGTCAAGATGCCAAAGATACCCAAGATATCAAAGAAGATACAAAGCACAAAAGCTGTCAAGAAGAGATCAAATATGCAGAGGAAAGCATGATATGCAAGCAACTCATTTTCATCATTTCCCAAATGAAGTGACCCTTTCAGAACAAAGGTACAACACAAACATTTTTTATATTTTTAGCTGTACTGAGAAAGAAGAGAGAGAGATAAAAGAATGCAGGTTTTTAGGCTTTAGGCAGGAGGCATAGAAACATATACAAAAGACTGAACACAGAGGAGAAATATACAACTGCTAAGCATTAAAGAGGCCTAAACCAGCAGTAAAAACTGTGAAGCCTCAAGCTTAACACAAACCAGCTGAAGCAAGTAAAAAGCTTCATCCTGTCAAACACCTTAAACCAGTTAAACCTGAAGCACAAACTGCATA